CACACACACACACACACACACACACACCAAGGGAGAAGTAATTGGTACTTAAAGTTGGTTTTGTGGGTTCAGGCTTATTTAGATTAATTAATATTAGTCTATTAAGAAGTACAAAAGCTCATAGGCATATATGTTCAATAACAAAAGTTCTCCAGTTACAGTAAGCCCTCATCGAATGTTAAATATTGGGTCCTTTCTGCATGTGTGTAACAACTTCTGGCTTTATTTCTGTAGCAGGAAAATATATTGGATTTCACTAAGAGGTGCTATTTTCTTAGATGAAAACATTCTTCAGTTTTTAAGATTTTAAGTATTTTGAGGAATCCCTTATTCCTTAGAAAGTCATAACTAAAAATGGAAATAGTTCTATGATGTTTCATTGTTTGAAAGCAATCATAGTTGCTGGGCAGTGGTGGTGCATGCCTTTAATACTAGCACTTGGAAGGCAGAGGCAGGCAGATCTCTGAGTTTGAGGCCAGTGTGGTCTACAGAGCAAGTTACAGGACAGGCACCAAAGCTATACAGAGAAACCCTGCCTTGGGGGAAAAAAAAGAAAGTAATCATGGTCAGTGAACAATCTGACCGCTGGTGGTCAGTATAAGATGACAGGAAATAAGGGATGGCCTGCCTTGGCTGGCAGGGAGGGTGGTAATGGGGTGTGGGAAAGAGTCCAGGGTTTGCTGGCATGACACGTGTGTTGGTTGCTTTACATGTTGCTGGGACAAAATACCTGACTGACGGAAGGGAGAAAGGGCTTATTTCAGCTCACAGTTGAAGGTACTATGCCATCATAGTAGTCAATCATAACTATAGAAGTGCAAGATACTGATCTCATTGTATCTAGTCAAGAAGCAGAGAGAGATGGAAGCTAGTGTTCAGCTCTGTAGCCGGAAGGTTCCTCAGCTACTTATAAAATAATTATTCAGAGGCTTAATATTTATTATCAATTGAATGGCCTATGGTAGGCTTCTTACTAGCTCGCTCTTATAACTTAACTAATTTCTATTAATCTATAAGTTGCCATGTGGCCGCAGCATTACCGTTCTGCTGGCATCTTGCTGCTCCTTCTGCACGGCAGCTGGCGTCTCTCCTCTCCTCTCCTTTCTTCTCTCCATATATCTGTTTGGATTTCCCACCTGCTGCTAAGCTGTCTTGCTGTAGGCCAATGCAGCTTTATTTATCAACCAGTCAGAGCAACACATGTTCACAGCGTACAGAAAGACATCCCAAAGCACAGCTCTTTCTCCCAACTCATAGACTGATGCTGTCCACAGTTAAATGGGTCTTCTCACCTTAAATAACCTAGCCTAGAAAATCCTTCATAGGTATGCCTAGAGGCTATCTTAATCTAGATAATCCTTCACAGCTATGCCCAGACATTTTCTCCTAGGTAATTCTACCATCACAGTGAGTCAAATTCTAGACAGTGCACTGTAACTCATTAATCATGGGAGGAAACTTACAAAAGAATAAAAGAAATGAACTGTGTAATAAGACAAATTCAAATAGGTGATAATAGATAAGGGCACTCAGGCTAGTGATTAAAAATAATTATGTAGTTAGTATACACAAAAATAAGACTAGAATTCTCTCCTAATTCAGTTGTGATTCCTCATTACTCAAGTTGGAGTTATTAAATGGTAATAGAAAATACCATTCCACTCTAAATTCTCAGTCAAGTTTAGTTGGCATTTGAAGATACTATGTTACAAGTAAAAGTTTAAGTGGAATGAAAAAATTGATCATATTAAAATACAGATTATCAGCCCAGTGTGGTGGTGCATGCCATTAATCCCAGTACTGGAGGCAGAAGCAGGTGAATGTCAGTGAGTTTGAGGCCAGCCTGATCTACACAGTGAGTTCCAGGACAGGCTCCAAAGCTACACAGACAAGCCCTGTCTTGAAAAACCGTGTGTGTGTGTTTGTGTGTGTGTGTGTGTGTGTGTGTGTGTGTGTGTGTGTATACATACATATATATCTATAACCATTTCTCAGCTTTTCTTTAAATAAATTGATGTTTAAATTTCATTCTATTCTCTGTTGAAAATGTCTTTTCACTAGGTAAATTTGGTATGTCTTAGTTAATGGCTAGGGTATTTACTCTGTTTTGCTCTTCATGGCTAGGACCATTATTTTTAACGTTTGAATCTTAACCTTAGGTATGGTAAACCGAGAAGTTCTGGAACAAGTGGAGCGAGGGTACAGGATGCCTTGCCCTCAGGGCTGTCCAGAATCCCTCCATGATTTGATGAATCAATGTTGGAAGAAGGACCCTGATGAGAGACCAACATTTGAATATATTCAGTCCTTCTTGGAAGACTACTTCACTGCTACAGAGCCACAGTACCAACCAGGAGAAAATTTATAATCCAAGTAGCTGTGTGCACAGATCTGCCAAAACACTTGTGTGAGTTCCTCATGCACAGGAATGAGAAGATACTCTTCACTCTGCATGTTTCTTGTGGTAAACTGGAATTCCAGATATGGTTGCACAAAACCACTTTTCCCCCCAAGTGTTCAACTCTAAAGTACCAATGACACATCTTACAACTTACTTCAGGGTCCAAAGAAAGCTAAGCTATTGTGACTGTGGGTGATAGCATCGTAAGAAAGAGCAACAAGACTACTGTTTACTGGTCACTTTCTTTTCTTCCCAAAACTCAGAATTGCTAAAAGAAAACTATTTATTGATATGGACGAAACTTGGGCTGTTATACCGCTGTAAAATCTAAAATCAAAGAACTTCATGAGACCAAATAATTCCATTCCAGTTTTTAAAAATCTTGCATTTTTTTTCCTTAGAAGTTAGGTTTTTGTTTTGTTTTGTTTTTCTATTTAACAGTTGGCATGTAGTCTTAACACAGATCTCCTTTTGGGTGGAACGGGCCAAGTCTTCCAAAAGCAAAAAAATGGATTATAAACAGCATCAAAAACTTGATTAAGTGTTAGATCACAGCCATGGAATTTGGAAGCATAATACACTGTGTTCACATTTACTTCATAGAACTGGAAAGTAGAAAAACAGTTGTTTTTTTACTTCAGTCATTTCTTGAATTGTTCAGCTTAGAATAATAAGATAACCAGAAAGTGAGTTAATCTCTTATAAGGTTGTATTGATTTTTTAAAGGCAATGTACAATTGAAATTATACTATCCAGTCCAAGGGAAAAATCTTTTAATATTTGCATAGCATGAAAAATAAAAACCCAGCATTTAAGCAGTCCATTTTTAAGAAATAGATGGTGTACTATGAGGTGTTGCTAGTATGTTTTTATGGTGATGGGCTCCACAATAGAAAACATCACTAGATCAGGGACTTGAATGCACTTTGCTTGTATTGAGTATAGAATAGGAGAGAGGAAAATGTATTTAAATAAATATGAGAGAAGAAAATGGGAAAGTTTTACAGGTATTGGGATAGGATGGAATGTTGAATGTTGGTGTTGTGGAGTGACAACGTGGCTTTTCTGGCACTCAGAGCTCCTCATTAGCTACTTTTAGACTTTAAAAGTTGTAAAGTATGACTGTAAAACTCATTTTCTTAACATATACACTAAATCAGTTCTACATCCTCAAAATAGTGAAGATAAGGCTTAACACTAATTTCAGTGGCCCATTTTTATACAGAACCTTTTTAGAACTCCAATTTTCAAATCTCTGAAATTTCACTTACATTTCAGATATACTTGATGATTATCGTATTTTCCTTTCATAATATAATTAATTTGAGGGAGAATACTTACTCTAAGTAACAGTAATTTAAAGAGGGAAATTTTTGCCCACTCAAAGTGCAGAAGTAGAACATTCATTTTGAGAGCTTTTCTAACTCAGAAATTATGAAATATTAATTTGAATTGAGTAGTGTTAATGGTTTAAGGGTGTAGCAAGGGAAAAACTGCTAAATAAAAGTCTAATATTTATGTTTTTAAATGCTGTATTTTATAGTTACACTTTAAAACGTTATATCAAGTTGTCTTATTTTCAGCATATAATTTTAAACTACCATCATTTTAATCAAGAAATTTAAAGATCTGTGCCATGGTAAAGTATGTTCAAATTTAAACCTTTTTAAATGTGACAAGTGAACTTCATGCAAGTTGGCAAAAGTTCTGGTACTAAAAGTTGTGTTTGTTTTCTTTTTAATTAACCTATTCAGTACTGAATCCTCTGCCAAGAGGGTCTCCTGATAAGAATGTCGTCCTTATTTGTCCTGATGTCTACAGTTTGTGACATGAGTGTTTTAAAGGGCTTCATGTGAACTATGGTATTGTAGTTTTTCTAAGGATTCTTTAAAGAGTAATAAAATTACGTTTATGTACTAATTCTGATCAGAAAAATAAGGCAGGAAAAGTTGGTGGAATTCTTTAGATTTTCAATAAACTGGATGAAGCAGTTCTTATACTAACACTTGTATAGTAAGGACACAACACTAACTTAATGTGTATTCAGTTTAAATTGTTATGTATTTTTGAATTGTCAAGAAAAACAGTTTTGTACATTTGAAGATTTTTTTTTTCCAACAGTTTTCATCCTTATTGTCTTAACTTGGAACTTTAACCCTTACCAAAAAAGGAAAGTTGGCAAAAGAAGCCTTCTAGCACACTTTTTTAAAATAAATAATGGTAACCTAAAACTTAATATTTTTATAAAATGTTGAAATATTGTTTTGTGGATAATTAAAATAAAATTCTTTGTTGAATGCATCTATTTATCTTTTCATTTGCTCTTTATATTTCCTCATTAATTATGTAAGTATTGGCTATTCTGAATTTATTCTTCCATTGGGAAGAAAATGTTGAGTTAGAAATTGTAAATCTCGAACAGAGTTAAAATCAGTTCTTTCTTAAGTTTAGAACACTATTGAACTTATTTCACATGATTAATTTCCTGTGTACAGTAAATGACATTTTCTAAAATTGTATCAGCAAATACAGCCACTGTATCACATAGAGAAACCTGGGTGATTTAAGTGAAGCTATTTACAGACAATAGGAAAGATATAAAGTAGAAAAGTCACTTTACTTTCCTTAAGTGGCACAAACATCTCTATGTGTTCTACAAATCTCTTTTCACAGATTTAATTAAAATTTTAAATGTCTTGTCAAAAGCTTTTGTGATTTTCAGTTCTACAGTTGTGTTAATTACTTTTTACTACTACTTCATGTGAAATTATTGCTCCTTTTCATGATTTCCAAAAAAAAAAAAATCACAAATTACAATCAACACAATACTTTCTTCAATTCATTGTTTATGTAGTATATTAACAATCTCCTAGAATGTTTTTCCAGCTGGGCATGGTGTACATTCTTCTAATCCCAACACTTGGAAGGCAGAGGAAAGCAAATCTCGGATTTCTATGCCAGCCTGATCAACATAGACAGTTCCATTCCTGGTGTGGGATGTCTTTTCTGTACTCTGTGAATATGTATTGCTCCCATTGGTTAATAAATAAAGCTGCTTTGGCCTATGGCAAGGCGGGATAGATCCAAGTGGGAAATTCAAGCAGAGATACTGGAGAAGAAGGGCAGAGTCTGGGAGAAGCCAGCCAGCTTCCCAAGGAGTAAGATGCCAGCAGACCAGTAATGCCATGGCTATGTGGCAATACGTAGCTTAATAGAAATGGGTTAATGTAAATGTAAGAGCTAGCTAGCAATGAGCCTGAGGCATTGTCCAAGCATTTATAAGTAATATTAGACCTCTGAATGGTTATTTGGGAACTAGTGGGAGGGAAAGAAATTTCTGATTACAAATGGTACCCAATGTAGAGCATGTACATCCACATAAAACCCAAGAAAGCTTTAAAAAGATTCTAATGCACAGAAATGGAGCCACAATGGGCTTCCTACTCTTTCATGCCAGCCACAGTGTAGGTGGAAGTTTCTCTGCCACAGGCCTGGTCCCAAATACCCAGCAGCGACTTCTTAGATAATTGACTCTGAGGCTTAATATTACTTACAAATGCTCAGCCAGTAGCTCAGGCTTATTACTAGCTAGCTCTTACACTTAAATGAACCCATAATTCTTATCTATGGTTAGCCACGTGGCTTGGTACCTTTTCTTAGTGCAGCATTCTCATCTTGCTTTCTCTGTGTCTGACTGGCAACTCCTTACTCTGCCCTTTCTTTTTCTAGAATTCTCCTAGTCTGGTCACCCCTCATATACTTCCTCCTTGGCTACTGGCCAATCATTGTTTTATTAAACCAATTCAAATGACAAATCTTTACAAGACCATTTTCCCACAGCACCGTGGTGCCCTTGAAATAGAGCTGGCTGCCAACCACCATGAGCCAAGCCACACAACAGGCTTCCATGGTCTCTCACAGGAGCCACTGCCTGCTGGCTTAAGCTATCAGTACAAACTCCAGCAGCATACCACAGGGCAGGTTAAGGTTTTTGCTCATATAGACAAAGGGTCAGAGATAAACAATAGAAACAGATTCAGACCAAAAAAGGCCTCCAAATGGGTCACAATATGTTTGAAAAATATACATAGACTTGGAAGAGAAAAGGTATAGACAGTCATAAAAAAGAAATACCTAATTTTAAATTAAAATCCTTAAAGGGGAATAAAGGAATATAAAAAAAAGCAACATAAAAATGAAAAATACACAGAGATTCTGGATATTGTCTTTGAATTGTTCGACTGTTGAGGAAGGAACAACAGCTGCTAAGAGATGTTTGATTATAAATGTTGCTGGATTAACCCAACTTAAATATTTAAAAAATGCCTTGACTTCAGAATTTAAGTCAAAAGATGTGTTACTTTGGGAAAGAGGTTCTGCTGTTGTTTCCATTGGAAACAAGAGGCTATGGATTTGTTCCAGGTTTAGATGGACCAGATTTGATCAAGGGATACCTGAACTTTGACAGGTGGTACCTATCAACAAAGGTTATAACTGGTCTTCCCAGGACATGGCCATTATCTCATATTTTCTCAGGGACCCTAAAGATAGCTTGTCCACAGACAGCAGGAGCAGTTTGGAGGAAATGATGTCCACTTTCTCAAGAGGTGGGGGATATGGATGGTCTTTCATTATTTGGTGGGTTATGAATGTTTATTATATTTAGGAGAATATAGTATAAAAGGGCAACTATTAATCTCAAGTATTTTGCATTGGCATGGATTTTGGTATAGTGATACAAATTTAAAGTTAATTTTGTTACACTATGTATATGTTTCTGGTTTAAAGGATTTTTTGTATATTGATACAAATTTAAGGTTATTTTTGGCACAACATTGTATATATGCTTCTACTCTTGTTTAAAGTATTGTACCTATGCAGTTCATTTAAAAATGTAAAATTCTGGTTTTTGAAAGCTATTATTATAAACTATTTAGGATAATCAAAAAACATAGGTTAATAGTCATTTATAACAGCCAAATTTGTAGATTTTTAGACATGTTTCTAGATCATACAGAGATATATTTTAGATAGATAAGTGGTCTTCAAATACTTCAAAGACCTATAGAATATGGCATTTGAAATGTTTTGTTAACTTAGGGTTTTTCATGACAATGAGACATCTGCTCCTGGCAGCACCAATTTACTTCATAAAAGGATGATGGGTATTAAAGAACCTCCATAGGAGTTTGCTTTCATTGTGGCAAGGTTAGCCTTTTAGGCAAGAAACAGCTTTTGCCTTGACTGCTTGACTATGCTCTCTAAACTGGACATGCAGGACCCACAGGAAAGTGAATGCTGAGCTTTGCCAGAACAAGATGGGACAATCCTTCAGGGCTCCTGCTTCACAGGAGAAACTGTCAGACATTCTTCAGGACACAGAGGAAAGCAACTGATGAAATTTGCCAAAATAATAGGGACAGTCCTTCATATTTCCTACTTCACTAAGAAGTCTGCCAGATACTCTAGGCTTATAGGCTGAAGATCAATGCCTCAACATTACAGAGGAACTTTGGGTGACTGTCCAGGCAGCCAGATGTCTCTGTCATTCTAGAATTTTGGAAGTTGCTTGTAGTGCACTTCTTGTTTACTAAGGTAATGTTATATCCTTCTGGGGTCTTTGATGGAGTTGAAGACTAGATAGTTATAGTTTTCCTTAGTTATGATAAAAAATAAATTAGATAGGAAACTTTAGACTCACAAAGATAGGATAGATGATAGAGTATTTAATTTTGCCAAATACAAATAAGTTAAATATTGTAACTGTAATTCTTGCTTAATAACTTTTGTTATATGTAATTTTACTATGTTCAAGTTAAAACCTTTTTTTTGTTTGACAGAAAAGGGGAAATGATGTGGGATGTTTTCCTGTATGTTGTGAATATGTATTACTCCCATTGGTTAATAAATAAAGCTGCTTTGGCCTATGGCAAGGCAACATACAGCCAGGTGGGAAATCCAAGCAGAGATACAGGAAAAGGGTAGAGTCTGGGAGAAGCCAGCCAGCTTCCCAAGGAGCAAGATGCCAGCAGACCAGTAATGTCAACGCTACATGGCAATACATAGACTAATAGAAGTGAGTTAATTTAAATGTAAGAGCTAGCTAATTACAAGCCTGAGGCATCGACCAAGCATTTATAAATAATATTAAGCCTCTGGTTATTTGGGAACTGGCAGGTGGAAGAGAAACTTCCGATTACACAGTCCAGCCAGGGCTACACAGTAAGACCTTGTCTCAAAAAACATATTTTCCCTAGTTTGATGATTTGCTTTTAATGTTACATGTGCTTGATTGACATTTAAGTTTTACATTTGTATTTTGCCAAGTATATTCCTTTTTATGCTTAGAAAGCATTTATCTGCCCCAATATTAAAAATTCATGTCACCTCTTTTATAATTTGTGCTTTTCATTTTTAACGTTTTGATTCATTTAGAAGCTATTGGAATATAAAACATGACTTTATAGTGTGTTATCTCTTTTTTTTTTTTTTTTTTTTTTTTGGTTTTTCGAGACAGGGTTTCTCTGTGTAGCTTTGCGCCTTTCCTGGAACTCACTTGGTAGCCCAGGCTGGCCTCGAACTCACAGAGATCCGCCTGCCTCTGCCTCCCGAGTGCTGGGATTAAAGGCGTGCGCCACCACCGCCCGGCTTATAGTGTGTTATCTCTTATTTTTCTGTAGGTTTCCAACTGTATGAGTAAGTTTCTGTTCTACTAGCCACTCCCAAATACCCACAGAAGCTTATATTAATTATAAATGCTCAGCCGGTAACTCAGGCTTATTACTAACTATCTCTCACACTTAAATTAACCCATTATTCTTATTTATGTTTAGCCACATGGCTTGGTCCCTTTTTTCAGTATGGCATTCTCATCTTGCTTCCTCTGCTTCTACCTGGCAATTCCTAACTCCACACTTCCTCTTCCCAGTATTCTTAGTTTGGTCACCCTACCTATACTTCCTGCCTGGCTACTAGCCTATCAGCATTTTATTAAACCATTTGAATAGCAAATCTTTACAGTACACAAGAGGATTATTCCACAGCATTTCCCCCTTTTTTTTATTATTAAAAAGGAAGATTTTTACTTTAACATAGTAAGATTACATACAACAAAACAGTTATCAAATGAGAATTATAGTTATAATATCTAGTCTATTTGTGTTTGACAAAATTCGAGAAAACAATTATCTATCTTATCTTGGTGAGTCTAAAGTTTTATATCTAATTTATCTTTTATCATAACCAAGGAAAACTATAATTATAATTATCTAGTACTCAACTTCATCAAAGACTCCCAAAGG